TGGAAAAGGATTGTAGTCTTTTGCTTTGCTCTTGGTACGCGAGATTGAAATACATTGGAAGTTGTTGGTATGAGAGCTTGCGTTAATATACCAAGTAATGTTCGCGAACGTCTATACAGTGAACCTGTAAAGGGGCATGAATTTACAGCACTGTCCAGCTGTTGAAGCCACTCCAGTGTAGCACCTCATCAAATACATCAACTTCATTTCATCACATATTGCAAACCCGCTCAACATGACCTAGAACCCTGTGATAAACTGCGGATAGACGGTAAGGTTTCCATAGAAACTACGAGGTTCAAATTTAGGCCTGCTATCCCTAGACTGCGAGACATCAACAACGGACTCACAATGCTGAGCATCATACATGTCATTACAAATAGCAAGCAACTCAGCATTACTTACTTTCCTGCTTGCTTCTAAGAGGCTTCGTCCCTTCTTTGACCCAGGCGTAACCGAACTTGACCAAAATTCCAGAAAAGTTTCAGATAATACTTGTCCAAAGAAGACTTGCAGGCACCAGGAAAAACGAACAGAAACTATCCATAACTATCAGAACTTGTCAGCCAGCTCTCAGAAACTGTCAATGTCCAGCTCTTACCACTCTGGACCTCATACTGTCCCTGGAAGACTCTCAGAAACTACGCGTAATAACTAACGCGAAAAACCAGAACGCAAATCGGTGACTCAATAACCGTTTATTCTTGCACCAATACAGATCCATTAGGTTATTATACACAAAGTATAAGAATAAATGTTATAACAACAGATCACAATAATACTTCTGGTGGTTATCTCTCTTCCAACGAACAGCGAACGATGAGATGATGACTGCCGTATTAATGACTCCCGCAAAAATTATGTAGGATTTGGGTTTGGGCAAGCAACCACGAATTGATCGTTCAATCTTCAACTACATTGACAGGTGTCAACATTGAATTTTACGCGACCTCTGCATTGGGCGAATAAGTGAGTAAATCCAGCACAGCACTATTCCACTTATACTGAACTTTGTCACCAGCCACGTTTTTACCTCGTAGTAATAAGTCGAGCATTCATATCGTCATCATAAGAATTCCAACTTCACTCAAATAGAACAAGACAAATGTACTCAGCAGGATGAGACTTACATTTGATGAAACATAGTAACAAGTGATTCTCTGCACTCAGTTGCTAGTTATAATTATTTCGCCTGTATTGCACTGCTGTAGCCAGGCTGACTGGTGCTACTGGACTTCCAAATCTAAGCGAATGATGTTTTGGTTGTGCTGCAATCAGAAGAAAGTAATATAAAAGCCACATAATTTTTTACTCCACTACGTTCTCTCACAACGGTTCATTTTTGTTCTCCTACTGTGGTAATGAGCGTATTTATCTGTGGTCTCAACTGTCACATACATTACATTTTTTGTCAAGCAAGTAGACGATGCCTTCATATTTGGGCGTCATTTTTAACCTTGCATATCTATAATGCAGGAATTAAGGGGTCTTCAGTAGCGCTTACTTGTAAACAATCTAATCATTTCCTATAAGTAGTTTTCCTATCAAACATTTGTACCATTACCACTAGCTTGCTAAGAAATTTTGAGTCCAATTCAAAATCAATCCAAATACATCTCTCCAGACCAGATGCCAGAAACAAAAATGAAAGTCATTTTTGTGTATGGTTTCCTTCTTAGTAACATGGTAACCCATACGATGCGCTAAAATAAATCGCGATAGTCTTTATCCTCACCCAATGTATTCAGGTCTACAGTTTTGAATTTCGCACAGAGGTCATTCCCGAGGCGTTAATTTGGACTTGTGTGGTTCCAACTGCATTTTGGGATTAATGGTCTTCTGCACGACTCTTACATGTAGGAATACTCACTAAAGTTGGTTTTGTATTAATATTATATTTTCCCTCCTAAGATTCTTGACAGAAAGACGTTTTCACGTCTTATAAGTAGTAAATGATAGAAGCTTAGCGTTAGACGTGTACCCCTTTTGGAATTCAGTTTTTCCGATGGAATTATACTTTGGGGTCTCAAAACAGATTCATCAGGGCCTGCTATCTCACTTTTGGTGGCTACCTTACCACTTATTTTGGGGGAGTTCTAATAACTAACTACATGAGAAGCAGTATACTGCTATAGTAGTTGCAAAGTTGGTCACAGATGATTGTGTTCTAGGTTTCGCTTCTGTTTCTGTTTCTTCTTATCAATCTCCCACAGAATCACAGGCTTTTCGTAAGACCAGTTACCTTCACACATGTATATTTCACTAACTCCATTATTCGCATGGTATTCTAACACTCGATCTTTCGGGAATTCGTCTAGAGAATTTAGAACGATTGGTAAAATCTTGTTTAGTCATATTACATGTAACTCCAATTGGTGAGCGGAGGTTGTGTTACAGGGTAGCTACCATAGTTTAACTTCACACTTTTGGGCTATCCTCTGTAAATTGCTCAATTCTATTCTTGACCAAAAATTACCATAATTTCTGCTTAAGCATTTGAAAACCTCGCTTTCTGCGTGTTTTCATATATCACCTGAAAATTTTATAAGCACCAGATAATTGCATTATTATTTATTATTTAGGAATATGGCAGTTTTTCTTCTAGCTAAAGTGTCAGTTGGTAGAGTGAGATTAATAATAATTTAGTATTTTGTAGATGTTTGAGGTGGCTCTGTGCGCAGCTGTGTATTTATGTCTGCTTAATTATGATAGACAAGGTATTTACGCATTCTTTGTGGTTATTCCGCTGTACACCATCTGCATTTATTGACACCCCTATGTGCTTGGGTATTGAATAGTTGCATCGGATAAGTACTGTATCCTAATAATAGACTGCTTGTCAGCTGTAAATAATAGGCTAAGATGATCTGTGTGGTTGTTTGTCTTAATCGATTGCCTTTGGGCTTTTTACTGAATACACTTTACCCATTTCATTTACTACTAATTCGGCGACTACTACTAGACAGCTTTTTATCCTGTGTTCTGATTGTGAAACTGAATAACTAATTTTATTCTTGCTTCAAGTTCCCTTCACTCATCTGCATTTGCTAATCAAAGTCAAGACTTTTCAACAAGCTACAAGTAACTGCACATATTTCTAGTTGTAAAACATTTAATTTATTTTTTATTTTTGATCATAGCTTGATTCCACACAGTATTTTTGATAAAAGTATGGAATTTTCAGCCTGGATATCGGTAGCCCAAATTTTGCAGGCCGACCATAGATATCAGGTGTGCGTCGGCGTGGGCTCAAACCCCGGACCATGTGCATGGTCGGCGAGAGTTCTCACTACTGTGCCACCGACGCACAGTTGTCTTGAGTTAGTCTGTAGTTTTCAGCCAGTGTGGTATACATTGTGACATCAGTAAATCACTTTCGAAATACTTACATTGATTTAAGACTTGTATTCGTTGGTTGAATTTGAGATTGTGACTCCCACTTCACGGTGTTTGTGTTGTAATGTCCTAGATGAAAGGTTCATTTCCTAATGTCATCCCATTTTGTAGTCAGATCTCAAATTGATTATCAGATATCTTCCAAAGTTGTTAATAATTGCTTGATATAAACAACTCACTATATTTTCAAACTGTTCAGGGAAGTCAAGACATTGGAGATAAAGGAATGTAGCTCTGTCAGTTGGCTAGCGGATGCTCTACTCAGCTATTTTATTAATGGTTCAAATCCATTTCACACACCTTGACGTGTAAGTCTTTACCTTGGGAAGAAATGACTAAATGCTTATCTGTGGTTGACAGAAAAGCGTAACCTGAGGAATTCTGACATAATATCCAGTCAGCTGTAGAAATAGTATTGAAGGCTCGTGACAACCGAAACCGGTTAGTAAATGTCGGTGGATTTCTATTGCTTCTTCCGAACTGATGGAAGTAATGAGGTTGGTTCCAGCGGAGTTGGGGCGTGGCCAGGAGCGAAGGCTGCTCAGATGCAAGGTGATTAAAAGTTAACGCAACGTTTTGCAGCATAGTGGTGAATTGTGGACTGGGTTAACGAAGATATTGGATAATGTTTGTTCATCCGAGATGTTCCCGTTGGACGTTTGTGAATAATTGGTCATCCCATTTAAGAGAAGGGAGACAAGTCCTTATGTAATCATGGGGGTGTTGTTAGGTTGACTAATATGGTATCTAGACCAATGGGTCCAATATGCATGTGCAGACTGAACTGTGTTCGGACGAAATAAACCCGTGAAAGTCAGACAGGCTTTAAGACTGGGTGAAGGCATATTGATCTTGTCTTCACTTTTCGACAGATTCTGAAACACAGGCATACCTTCCGAAGTACAACCCTTGCCATATTTCTTGACCTGAAGGCAGTGTTTGTGTCCGTCGACGGAGAGGTGATTTCTGTGTGTTTATTCGTGAATGAATTGTCGAGAAAGTATGTCACACTAATGAAAACGCTAATTCTACTTGAATTAACACAACCCTGTGGATACTTGTCATTTAAAGTGATGACAAGCAGTGGTGTTCATCAGGGATACCCAAGTTCTACGTGTTTTTGTTTGATTGTCTCGTAGCTGTATCAGTGGATGTGACCTGAATCGACTGAGGTATTAACTAGTTACCAGGGAAGTGTTTTGTTGATTTATTGTATGAGGATGATATAGTCCTTCTAGTTCTATGTGGAAAACAGACAGACAGTCCTTCTAGTAGAGAACACTTGTAAAATGCAGGGTCTTCAATTGGAGGAGATGAATGAAAGGTTGGAGAGCGACAAGTGGGATGTAAAAGTCACCGAACCATATGTTAGGAACTTTAGATAATATACAGCTTTAATACAAGTGGGTTATTGTGACTGATTTATGCTGGGAAACTTCCTGGAGTTTCAGCATCTAAATATTCAGTGGATAGAGTATTTTAATCTTTCACTGAAGGTACTCCACTTTCTACCTAAACATTTCTCTTTTTTATTCTTCATTTTAGCTTATTCACTGAATGATTTATGCAACTTGTAAAATATATCCACAGTCTTATAATCAAAGATGAATCGTTTGCGTAGAACATTCAGTTTTCGAAAACGTAAAAAGCAAAATAAAAGCGAGGCTAGTGATTCTTCGAAGCCGCAACAATGGCTAGATGATGAAGTTAAAATCAAGGAAGGATTTTGTAGCTTTCAAGTTAAGGTTTGTTTTTATAGTATGAATTATAATTTGGCTTTTATCGTAGTATCTGGGTAATATTGAAGTGTATGAATCTAGAGGAATGCAAGTATGTGAAGAAGCAATTAAAGCTTTAAGAAAATCCAAGGTTTGCTGTTTTTATATTTAAATTAACATTTGATTCAATTTAGAAAAAACCTCAAAAAGCTATACTATCTGTTAGCGGCGATGCTCTACGTGTTTCAGATGATGTCAGCCAGGTAATTATTTTTTGGCACGTATCATTTACCTGTTTTAAGCATCTTATTGTAGATCAAACTATTGAAAAAGTGTCTTTTTGTGCTCCTGATAGAAATCATGAGAAAGGTTTCGCTTATATATGTCGTGATGGTGCAACTCGCCGTTGGATGTGTCATGCCTTTCTAGCTGTCAAAGAATCTGTAAATGTCTCTATTTTTCTTACACTTTTGTACTAATATCGTTAGCATATTACATATATATTATTGTTAGGATTTAATTTGTTTTTTGAGTTTGAACGCGTATTGGTATCAGTTAGATAACCATTGAAAACCAGGGAGTACTGGACAAATCAACCCGTGAAAATTAATCTGATGCTCGGCATTGACTTGCTACGGGATAGAGTTTGCTGGAGTTCAGGTGTGGAGTCGTGATCAGTGAGGGGTGCATCCAGCCATGGATTTCCCGCCGATGACATTGGTTGATGGTTGTGCTAAAACTACTACTAGGTAGAAGTTAGAATTCATGGGCCATTGAATTGGGTCCCAGCGGCTGAATGGTATAAATATATATATATATCTCCATGTGATGTTGAACCTGCTGAATATCAGCTGTCACATTTATTTATAGCTTGTGAGGGATACGATAGTGTGCTATTAGCAATCCGCCTTTATCAATTATTATGTGTTGAGTTTTCATGAGGTTGTTTTAACTCCTAACTTGACTTATCTAATGATAAAGTATTGTCTCATTTAAGGTATTCATGGTATAATGATCAGTCATACTCAAGATCGATTATAACTATGACTTTAGTATTGCGCAATTTATTCGACTATTCACTTCATAGTGATGCTCTATTTGTGTTCGCCTTTTACTGGTGACTGGGTTAAAACCTTGGAAGGAGAGAGAATACAAATTTAGATGTTATAGTTAACTAATTATCTTTGAAGTTACTTGACGAAATTCATTGGCGGACGGTGAGAGAGAGAGAGAGAGAGAGATAAATGTAAAACCTTACACAAAGTTATATCAATTGCTTCGCTTAAAAAAATACGCATTTAAGAAAGCAAAACTAAAATAAAATGACAGCAGATGCCAATTGTATTCAATTATTTTGCGTCCCATGGCGCCAGGTTCTGAAGTGACCATTGTCACCTTTGTGTACAGATCTTTTTTTATTATTAATTATCTTATCATCATTAATTTGATTTTGTTCAAATGGCACCAACACACGGGATTTAACTGCCTATTTGTCGTGTTCGGTTGTAAAAGGTAAGAGTTTTCTTTTTTAGTAAGTTTGCGATGTCTTTTCAATATACTTTAGCAAGAAGTTTGTGTAATTCGATTGTATTGTTTCTGGAATTGTCCTTCATATTGTGTAACTAACAGTTCACACTCTAATGGAAAAGCAGGAACAACATGTGAGTTATAATTAACTCTAAGCAGCTAATAGCCAAAAAATTGTTGGGTATATATATATATATATACACATATATATATATATATATATGCCACGTTCTTAATGTCATTTGTATCAATATTCTATTTTATTTTTCCCTTCACGTTCCCAGTGGAACATAAGGTCTCAAGTTAGTGGCTTGAATTTTCTGTAGCAGTGTTTAATTTTACAGAATGAGTTTGCTAGCCTCATGTCCAACCTTTCCACATTACCAGCATTAATTCTGGTGTAACGAGGTAAAGGAGTGCATCGGCGGGGGATCGAACCCCGGACCATGTGCATGGTCGGCGAGCTTCCTAACCGCTGTGCCACCAACGCTGTATCAGTATTCTAGTCACAATGAATGTTGAGTTTATTTTTAAATTTTAATTCAATCAGGGTGAACGTTTATCTCATGCTGTTGGATGCGCATTTGCAATATGTTTGGAAAAGAAACAAAAACGTGAAAGAGATGCTCTTCAGTTGGAGTCTTCAGATGAACGTCCAACTTTTGCTCGAGTTGGTTCTTTCCGACCAGTAAGTTTCTAACACTTAGAATAACGTGATTTTACAGAGGTATATAGAGGATATTAAGTGCAGTTAAATTTGCTTTTTCAACAGATACCTTTAGGATCTATGTGATGATATTTATATGTACTTAAATTTACAACACTGTTATTGAATAATTGGAGAATGGTGGTGAATGATGTCATTAATACAATGACAGAACCGGTTTTTAAATACAAGAAGATTAGTAAATGAGGATGAAATATCCAGGGATGCCGTATGGTTGTCATTTGTGTTCAATTTTTTCTAAAAATCTTTTCAACAAACTGAAAGGTATCCCTAACGCTATGCTTCACTAGCTGATCGTGCAGGTGGGTGGGTTCCAGTAACTGTACTTGCCACTTCGCAATCTCGTTAAAAAGTGATTGAGACATGTCTAATATGGGACGGAGTGTCACCCTTTTTCTCTTAGATCCCTTATTAAGTTAGTTATGTCTCGTCCTGCTTTCTGGGTTGAATCTTTCATTAATTTCGATTTTTGAAACTTTATTTCGCCATCTGGTATGGAATTCATCTTGTTGATATAACCATGTCTGTCCATATTTACGTTTCCAGGCCTCTTATCCGGTTCGGATACCTTTCCCTTTATTGATATGATGAAAGATTTGAACACAACTGGCAAAAGTATAGGAGCAGTAGGATTACGTAATAATTGATAAAACAATGGGAGTAAAGGTATGGTATTTGATCAGATGTAGATCACTATTGGATAAGAAGCAAGCCTGCCTAATGAGTTATTTATTTGAAAAGTGTGACGAATGTGGGGGAAACAAAACTAAAATGCGTTGGAGAAATATTTTAAGAGCGATAATAATAAATTATTTAAAAACATGTCTTCCCCATAGTAAATCTGAAGCAAGCAACACATGTTTTAATGTTGAATTACCGAATTTTCAGCACCTCAGCCATCTAAGAGTGTCTGAATAAGATTTTACAGCCTTTGAAGATGACTTCATCATTTCTCAGGACAAAATCCTCAGCACTGTCGTCGTCATGACGTTAGGACTTTCAGAAAGTTGGTAAATTTTACAAAAGGCACCCCTCCTTAACGGATAATTCCGAGCTGTAGTTCTGTACAAGAATACACGGAGAGTTTCACTGTCAAGAAATTCAATGATTGTTTGCCTGTAATGTGCGCGATGATGTTCACGCAGTTGGCAGAATGCAAAGAGGCAATCAGTGCCCTCACGAGTTAAGCAAAACTCAGTCTGCTCTTTGCGAATTAGTTCTCAACGCAGTTTGCAATGTTTGCGAAGTGGGATAGCAGCGAAATACCAATAGTTTCTTCTGTTTGATATTTAATTATTCCCATAAAGCTACTACTTCTATGTTCGTTTGTGTTGAAGGAGTCACGCTGTGGGATTGAAAACTTATTGATGTGTGTGTTGTTATGTTTTAGAATGGCTTGTGTATACTACTTGGTTTTGCTTTTGTTCATGCTAAAGCAATTTATGCATTTATTCATTTATTAAATAACTTGTTAAGCTAGTGACTTAAGATTGAGTTACCCTGATATTTGAGAAATGGTTGGTTGAAACCAACTTAGTCGAGTGTTCTCACTGAGGTTACTGATAACATTATATGTATTATGTGTTCCAAAAGATAAATCTCTAGACGGCTAAAGAATCAAAGCTCGTGTGAATTGAGACTGAGTTAGACGATGAAATAATCATGTAGGTCCTGGATGAATGAAATGCTTAGTTGGGTTGCCCAGAAAGCTTGCGTCTGAAATTTAGCGGCTGATTTACGAACTTACTATCTATGCAGCAGAGTCAGGGAAGAACCAGAACTTTTCTATTTACGTCTCAAATTGATAGTGAGTTATGCATTGTGTTGAGGACGGAATTCAGTAAATAATGCTGTATCCCTGCAAGCCAAAACTTGAAAGTCAATCTCACGCTCACTAGTGACTGGCTACAGGTTGAAGCCTACTAAAGCTCTACTGAAAAGTTGCGACCAGCGGGGTCGCCCAAGTCGGTTGTAGGGACAAATATTCACCAGTGACACTAGCTGAAGGTGCCGCTATTTATCACGAATTGGTGAAAATTAGAATTCATTAGTAGTTGGATTCCTTCCAAATGACTGTACGGTAGACGGTTGGCCTGAAGGTCCTGAGTTTGATCTCTATTCGTGGTGTCGCGAATACGTGCTGTTGAAGAGTCCCAAACCAGGACGAAGCTACTCGTTATTACTTAAGATCTAGCTTTAAACTGATCACATCTTTGCAAACCAACACTTCATAAGTAGCGTGTCTAACGAACAAAGCAACATGAGATTACATTCTACATTCTTTAATTCCTTTACGTTCCTAGTGGTACATAGGGTTTCAAGCTAGAGACTTGAAGTTTTGGTAGCAGTAGTGTTTATTTTCACGGGATGGGATTGCTAGCCTCACGCCCAACCTTCTCTCCTTACCAGTCTTATTACCTGCTTAGCGAGGTAAAGCAGTGAGTCGGCCGGGGATCGAACCCAGGACCGCATGCTTAGTCGGTCAGCATTCTACCGCTGTTTTGATAACTTTCAGAAGTATTCATCTCTTCTGTGAAACATTCAGGGTATCCGTGTATATCCTTACACAATTAGAAGATGAAATTCCTAAGAACAGTTGTTTGTTGAGAATTTATTGTCCTTAATCCTTGGTGAGAATCCTTAGCATTAGGCGAAACAGGTTGTTCAGTATGAATATTATAATTGCCAATTGATTGTGCTTATAAAGTACAAATTAAATAGTAAATATATAATCGAACTGGATTTCTGTTGTACACTTGTTCTTTGAGTATGCTGTTGTATTGATCAACTTTTCAGTGTAAACTGAGAGCAATATACCTTCAACAGAAAGTTGGATGCAAATTTAAACTAATCTGATGTTAAAAACCACTCTGATCATTGGTAATGTTGTTACTAAGGAAATGTCTAAACACCTATATTGTAGTCTGGGAAGCATACAATACTGTATCAGCTTTGTAGGAAAACAAATGTTCTGATGTCCATAAATCAGTATACTAAAGTCGTCGTGTGTCGGTGACATAGCGGTCAGGACGCTCACTGACCATGCACATGGCCCGGGGTTCGATCCCCGGCCGACGCACACCTGATATCAATGGTCGGCCTGCAAAATTTGGGCTACCGATATCCATGCTGAAAATTCCATACTTGTATCAAAAATACTGTGTGGAATCAAGCTGTAGTCAAAAAATAAAAAATAAATAAAAAATGTTATCCCAAATCATAATCTAAAATAATATTTCATTCTAAATTTAAATGCTAAATATCAATTTTATGAGATGTGATTATCTCAATTTCTTTCTGCTTAGCTTATTTTCTCTACTTTTATATCTGAGTCACCCTGTAGTTACTGCATCTCAGTGTTTGTCCTTTGTAATAGACGCGACAATATTCTCTAGAGGTTCTGCCTAAAATATTCCAGGACTACAATCGGTTTGATGCGTTGGCTAAAAGTATTGAAATACATCGACAGGTATCGATATCTCTCCTGTGTGTCCCAATGCCAATTCACCGAAAAATGGACATGTAACTACTACGTGGAGTTTCATCAGGGGTTTATGCAACTTCCCAACGGGTTTCATCACTGACGAAATCTCAGAACGGATACAGAAGGCTAGTTTCGCATATGCCAGTTTATACAGTCTCTGGCGTAGACATGATATCCAGCTATCAACCAAATGACGTGTGTACTGCTCACCAGTCCACTCTGTCCTCCTTTATGGCTGTGAGACCTGGCCATTGAGAGTGGAAGACATGAAAATGTTGGCTAGCTGTCTTTGACTATAGGTGCCTGCGTTCTGTCTCCCGTGTGAAACGGTATAATAGGGTTAGCAATATTGATGTTAGTCGTCGAGTGGTAGGTAAGGAGGGGAAATCAATCGACGAGGTTGTGAAGCAGCTGTATCGATTGAGATGGTTAGGACATGTGTTACGCACACCTAGCCTAGTCATCGCCTTCCTCGACATCGGGCAGTGTTAGGTGACATTGGATGGATCAGGTTGGAAAAGAGCCAGTGGTGGTCAAACCATAACATGGCTTCGTCAGTCAATGAAATCTGCAACAGTAATTCAAGCCACGTAGTAAACTGTAGACTTCCTGGTTGGGGTCCTCGGGACAGTAATCACCGACGGCTGGAGACAATTGGTGATATGGCTCAAAATCGTTCTCAGTGATGACGCAGATGCATCCACTCCTTGTGACTTATGATTTCCAATGAAACTATATTGTTCTTCGTTGTTACTATTCCTTTGTGTCACACCTCTGTTTACTGTCTCTCTTTTGCATTTCTTTTTACTTTCTTCTTCTTCTCTGGCTTTGTGTGCTGAGTGAAGTGTGGCGACTCGAACTGTTGCACATCGGTGCATAGTTCTATGTTGAAACCAGTCAGTGAGTCAGGGTGACTTTAGAGCAGTGGAAACATCTGTTTGTGGCAAGTCACGTGCACCTCATTTAGTCATAGTGAGATTTGTGGGGATTCATTCGTGCGAAACTCTTGCCTATCAACTGTAGGACCTTGTAGGATAGTTCGGGATATACAAATTTTTTCAATGATTTTATTCAGTCCATCCTTCGCAGAGTGGCAAGTTAGCATAGATGGGTTACTCGCCATTATAAGGAAACACCTTACTGTTGTCACATCCCCCTGTCATTACAACTTCAACTTTATTCCCCATTATAATAGGAGCAGCTTACACTGTCATAGCCGACGTTTATTGCATGGCAGGATCCCCGGGAATAATAGTCCCCTGCAATGAGGCGCATAGGTTCAAGAGTAGCAGCTAGCATTTAGAAGAGTTTTTAGGTTGCCTGTGTTGAGTATTTGGTATATTAAAAGTCGGTAACTGTTGAATTTTTGTGAAATGGTTGAGAATCGTTTACAACATTGAAGATAAATTCATTCTCTTCAAATGGAGATTATTAAATCTTTCACTAACTTCGACTATTCTTTCTCATCTCATTTATTTTTTATTCCATTGTAATGTCATCTTTTCGTTCTGTTTATTTATTACGCTTTTTCCAAGCATTATTATTGTTTCCTTGGGTGGAACAGAAGACTTCTTCAACAGCACACCTTCATTTGATCCTGTTCTCTGCACTCCTCGTTAGCTGGCCCCACGATTTTCCCTTAAGCTTTCATCTCCTCACATGGTCTCCTCCATGTCACCTTTGGTCTCCTAACTCGTTGTTCCCCATTTGGGTTCCATTCGAGAGCGTGGTTTGCGATGTCACCTAATGGTTTCCTCAGTACATGTTAAATCCATCTCCATTTTATGCTGCATATTTGCTAACAATAGGTTCTTGATATGTTTGTTCCCGGAATCTCTTGTTCATAATTCTTTCTAACCATTTGATCGAAGCATGGTAACTTGGAATGAGGCACTTTTGTGTAGAGTTCCATGTTGATTTATCAGTTGGTTAGATGGTTAAACGAGCGCTGTTTGATACTATCTTTTTATTGATTATTTTATGTAAGAGTTTTTACTCTGTATCTCATGCGTTTTCCACACTGTGTTTCGTTTTTGTTTTCAAAGGCTACACTGGCTGAACGGTTATTAGATCCTCAGTCAACAATTACAGCTGAACCACTACCAGCCTCCAATAACCCACCTTCAAGTTCACCTACTGGATTAAGCCGTGTGTCATCACCAATAAGCCATAGTGGAGCTATCCCACGTCCTCATGCTAGTCCATCTATTATTGAGCGTCAGGTACGTTTTTTTATCTTCTAAATTGTCTGCTGATATGTTTTAAATATTAGTTGATTTAATATTCATCTTCTGAGCACTTGAATGTGATAGATAGATAATTGCACTAGTCCCTAGTAAAACCAGTTTAATAGGGCTTATAAGTTACTGGTTCTTAAAGGTGAAGACTTTCAGCAAGTGGTCATTATTCTTGTTTAAAAGTTTACTTAAATCTTTCAATTTTTATATATTGTTAGGTTTACTAGGCAAATGGGAATAGGTATTATAATTATCAGTATTATAGCTTAATTGTTCTCTCAAGATTCAATTCAGTTCGTTTATGTGTAGAATTCGGGCACTATGGTAGAATATAATTCCATATTAGAAAGTTTTATTTTACATAACACCAGATACTGTTACAATTTTGATAATTGGATAGATGACGTTTCAACCACAATTCTTTGTTCATTATCATATTTCAGTGAATCCACACAGCTTGACAACTTGCTTTATAAATTTTCCCTCTTCCCTCTTGTTATTCACTGCAATTTTCCATATCTCTGATACAGAGATGTTGAGTCATTTCGATTTTACTTGTTTGGTGTTGATTTGATGAACGAGGATTCGGGGATTAATCTTTCTCTCTCTCTCTTTCCATCTAACCATGTTACTTTTTAATACTTTAATCCCTCCTCACCCTATTGTGTTGATCACATACTAGTGAATATCGTTTTCTAGACAATTTAACTTGCCAGGATCACTTATTCTGTATCCGAATCAATAGGGCTGTGGAGGCGGTTAGAAATGAAATTGTCATTGGTCCTGAACTCATAGACCGGAATAAACTCTCAATTGGTGAAATAATACTGTGTGTACAATTATATGCTTAACCCCCACTTTATTGAAATTTCAAAATAGCATATACAAACGAACAAATAGGGTGACAATGGAATCACCAGTTTCCGCAATATTTGCAGACATATGGATAATTGAGCATGTGAAGCTCTTAGAACGTTTAATCCTGATCCTAGGTTATGACAGGGATATATGTGTATGACACATTCACTGAGTTAAAATCTAAACATATCCTTGAATTCTTCACAAATATAAACCATGGGTAAGTGCAATCCAATTCACCTTTGAGCTCGAAAATCAACAAGGTGAGTTAGCTATATGTTAGACTCTAAAAGCGAACGGAAACACAATACTGGGTTGGATACTGGTACATATAAAAAACTGGCATATTCTAATAAATACTTTGACATATCACACCCAAAATCGGTAAAGGTAAGTTTAGTGAAGTGTTTATATAATCGAGCCAATAGCCTAACTAGCAACTGAGATTTAAGTAATGAAATCAAAGAAATAAAGGAAACAGTAATAGTCAATAACATTACCAATTCGATTTTATTTAGAAATGTATGAAGACCCATAAACAGAATAGGAGTAGTAATTTATATAGTGGAGATAATAGAAACAATGAGAGATCTATAGCCTCAGTAGTACTGCGGTGTAATGAAAGAACACCCGAAACATAACGTACGATTCCTAATGAGGCTGGAATTAGGGTGGTATTAAAAACCAACTAATTCACTCAGAGACAAAATTTGTCTGTTAAATAATAATATGAGTACTATGTGGTGATTGTCACGTTGTTTACATGGGTTAAATTAAAAGATTGGGGTCAGTTAGATTATCGGAACATAGGAACACTTAGATAGATTTAGAATAACTGACCTTACTAAGTCCAATAATCTTGAAAACACTCGGCCATTCTGATGCATTCCCTTGCATGTGATCAACACAATAGGGTGAGGAGGGATTAAAGTATTGAAAGGTAACATGGTTAGATGGAAAGAGAGAGAGAGAAAGATTAATCCCCGAATCCTCGTTCATCAAATCAACACCAAACAAGTAAAATCGAAATGACTCAACATCTCTGTATCAGAGATATGGAAAATTGCAGTGAATAACAAGAGGGAAGAGGGAAAATTTATAAAGCAAGTTGTCAAGCTGTGTGGATTCACTGAAATATGATAATGAACAAAGAATTGTGGTTGAAACGTCATCTATCCAGTTATCAAAACTGTATCGGTGTATGTTATACAAAATAAACTTATCTATTTTTTTTTATTTTTTTTATATTTTTGATTTACAGCTTGATTCCACACTGTATTTTTGGTACAAGTATGGAATTTTCAGCATGGATATCGGTAGCCCAAATTTTGCAGGCCGACCATAGATATCAGGTGTGCGCCGGCGTGGGCTCGAACCCCGGACCATGTGCATGGTCGGCGAGAGTCCTAACCACTGTGCCACCGACGCACATGGTTGGTTAGTAGATTAATGTTTTGTTAGGCGGTTAAGAGTTTAGAGAGGATAAAGAAGTCATAGTGATTGTCGTCCTTTAACTGTGTTATTTCAGTGAAGCCTGAAATACCTCTATTCTCTGCTAGGGCGACCTGTTTAAATCACTTAGCTACCAGGATTCGCGTCCATCACAATGCTTAAACTTTTCTACATTTCTTATTGTTTTAATCGTGCAATTATATCATATGAACGGTACGTGAATTCGTGCGCCAATCTAATTGGCTTCCAACTAGACGCTATGCAATTCTTGAAAGAAATGAAGAAAAAACTTACAGAATTGGTTCTCTTCTGATATACAGCAATGCTATGTCATTTGATGTACTTCAGATTATTACGTTATAAGCAAACCCTGTATTGAAAGCGAATATTTTGGATACAAATACGGTGAAAATTTCTGTAATATATGTTGACATAGTGTCTGAAATAAAGCTTTATCATTATTATTATAAAAGTGATTAGACGTATAGAATTTTATGAAGTACAACTAGACTCTCAGATCGGATTGCTAGATGAAGTCTTTAATTTCATTTCAACGAAGTTTGATAGATGGACAGTAAAAGAAATACATAATTTCTAAGAAATAACAGCTGATACTCTTTGCACAAAGGTGGATTTCGTAGCTTGGTAGCATGGTGGGTCTGTCTGTTTTCGACATAGAACTTTGCACATATGTGCACCAGTTCAAGTTGCCACACTCCCACCTTGTAGCACACAAAGCAAGACAAGAAGTGCATAATAGAGACAGTAAACAGAGGTGTGACACAAAGGAATAGTAACAACGAAGAACAATATAGTTTCATTGGAAATCATAAGTCACAAGGAGTGGATGCATCTGCGTCATCACTGAGAACGATTTTGAGCCATATCACCAATTGTCTCCAGCCGTCGGTGATTACTGTCCCGAGGACCCCAACCAGGAAGTCTACAGTTTACTACGTGGCTTGAATTACTGTTGCAGATTTCATTGACTGACGAAGCCATGTTATGGTTTGACCACCACTGGCTCTTTTCCAACCTGATCCATCCAATGTCACCTAACACTGCCCGATGTCGAGGAAGGCGATGACTAGGCTAGGTGTGCGTAACACATGTCCTAACCATCTCAATCGATACAGCTGCTTCACAACCTCGTCGATTGATTTCCCCTCCTTACCTACCACTCGACGACTAACATCAATATTGCTAACCCTATTATACCGTTTCACACGGGAGACAGAACGCAGGCACCTATAGTCAAAGACAGCTAGCCAACATTTTCATGTCTTCCACTCTCAATGGCCAGGTCTCACAGCCATAAAGGAGGACAGAGTGGACTGGTGAGCAGTACACACGTCATTTGGTTGATAGCTGGATATCATGTCTACGCCAGAGACTGTATAAACTGGCATATGCGAAACTAACCCTCTATATCTGTGATGAGATTTCGTCAGAGATCAACCCGTTGGCACTGGCTGATGCAACTTCCCAGATAAGTGAAGCGGTCAACGTGCTCTGCCACTTCACTCCTTATATCTAAACTAGGAGTCAGTTTGGTCCAGTCCTGTAATGCAAAGTGATGTTACAGGACTGGACCACACTGACTCCTAGTTTAGAAATAGGGAGTGAAGTGATAGAGCACGTTGACCGCTTCACTTATTTTGGAAGTACCATCAACCCCAACGGGTTGAGCATGGTGGGTGTCTCTTTTCAGTCTTGAATTCCACTACCATCCAACATCTATCAAGTATCATCGAGTACAATAAGGTAGAATGAAATTCAGTAGTAATCATATTAAAGTATGACATTAATCCATAAAGTTCCTAATATTTAATCTAAACATTTTACAGAGGTGTAGTCTACTATCAGATTCAGGTTTTTCAAGGTTTTGAAAACCTAATGGTTGATAACATGTGAGGTTTCAAAATTAATCCTTCATTTGATCGCATGGTTTTGTTTCTTCATTTTTGCTTTTATTTGTTATTTTTCACTCTCTTTTGTCTTTTTCTATCAGGGCTCACTTAGAATATTCCCAAAATTACAAGAAAACAGTCCTTTCAAAAGAGATCTATCATTGCGTCTTGAAGGTGTGCCTTCAAATCTACGACGATTGACCGGAATGATCCAGGGTACGTCCCAATTGCTTTAGGAGAATTAAATTTCAATTTACCTGTTAAATTGGTTGTTTTTGTTGAATTTTAAATTGTGCTCAGTTTTACTAGTCTTCTCACCAAGTTCGAATCCCCATGACAACATCTCAGGATTTCTTTAAGATTATTGGTTGTTAACAATCACAAGGATACATGTAAATTTATTTCAGACATCTAATATTTAAAAATTTCACTGTAGTATCCTACCTTTCTTCCAGATTACTAACAAGATTTGATACTTTATCAATAAGAAAAGGGCAAAAACAGCGAAGAGAATTTTCTTTTCGACGATTCATTTTCATGAGCTGTACGATCGTAATTATAATCGGTTACAGGATTTCATCATGAGCTGACATTGGTTAGAGAACCATTGGAACGCGCGATGGTACGTTTTGCTGAAGAGTCCCAAAGAGTCATAAGAGTGCTTTTGAATGCAGAGGTCCGGTTTCAGATCTCGAATAGCTAATGCTTCAGCTATGTACAGATGGCGTATCTGAAGTCCGTTTGTACGATATTGAGGGAATCTGTGTAACACTGTGAAGCTTTCATGTGGGGGTGCTCGATGTCCGGAGATGACAAGGTGTTCGAGGATCGAGCGGTTGCTCTGAAACCGGACCTCTGCATTCAAAAGCGATACATACATTCTCTTGCCCTACTATGGCCAGAGTAAAGTTCTTATCACAATTTTGCTTCTTTCCTGTATTATGTAAGTTCACTGTTAGTATGATTACTTTTATTATCATTATTATTCCCATCATCCACATTTTATTACCACTCTATTACTGTTTATTAATAACACTGCTTTTTCATACAGATTTCATATAAAAACCCTATCACCTTTCCACTAGTTCCTGTCCATTCTACACGAGCTTATTGATTAGTCATTATCTCACACTTATTGCGTCATGCCAACTTCTGTCTCTTTTCTAATTTGCGATTAGTCATCCCTTCTTACACCTTACATTATGTAATACAATTTTTCAAGGACAAAGTTTACTAGTATCTGATTGGTCTAAAGATTTCTTTGTTAATTATGATTACGATTGTACATCAGCTTATGAAAGTGAATCGTCGAAAAGGAAATTTTCTTCGCTGTTTGTGCCTTTTTCTTATGACTCAATATGGGAATATTTCTTTCATTGAAGAACTTTATCAATAGTATGCTATCAGTGCTTGATGTCCACGGCATCCATAATCGGCTAGTTCGAACTCGGCTACTCAGAACTCACATTTGAACTACCGGGTTAATTAGCCGCGCTTACTGTGTGAGAGAGTTGATGATGCTACCTGATCATTCAGGTGGAGTTAGTTTCGAATCTAAGATTCATCGGCTGTAAGTTGAATACTTGCTACATCTTCACAGTCTACGATCTGATAGCTGGTTCTCATATATCAAACCAATAGGGTTTTAGGATGTTTGTTGTTCCTTTTTGAGATCATTATTTTATCCACTATGTTAATTATGCCTTTATTATTTATGTATTATATCGATTCCGTATTACCAAAACATGTCAATAAGAACAACCACACCGTTAAGAAAGTTTCTATAGGCCATTGTTTTATCTATAGAAAATTAAAACAGGTGATTCAACGAAGAGACTTTAACGAATTTATTACCAAACTGTGTAATTTTTAAATAATAATGTGAATTGTGACGAAATATTTGTGATTATAATCGTAGTTGAACGTCAAGCGACAAGAATTGGGTATTATACTTTATAAAATGGTTCATTGAATGTATAAATTTTAGAAGTGGTGTGGGGGAGGGGGCTGAAGAATAAATAAGATAAGTAGGCGATTGCGACATTATGCAACAAGATGAAAATCATATTGAATTAAATAAATAAAGGGCAACAAGTGAGATAATACCGGAGATTACCCAGGGTGAAACTAATAATAACAATTGTAATAATAAGGGATGGATGTACAGATTGAAAATACAAGGCGAAAAATAAATAGGGTCAAGGAAGATATTGGATTATAGTAGTTTAACAGATCAGGCCCATTAAAGGAGTGGTTGAATGGAATTTTCTGTGTACAAATTTCTGGCTTTTCTATTTCGATGACCAAAGCTTCAGAAATACAGATGAGTTGGGGAAGTAATGATTTGAGCAGGTTATTTTTTGCCTTATGAATAACTTCTACACTCCTTTCTAAGATTTATACATCCCATGAACCCCGCCAACCACGCAAGTGGTTCAGATTCGATCTCCGGCTGACACATTCCTTTACCTCGACAAGCCAGTAACAAGACTGGTAAAGGAGGAAGGTTAGGCATAAGGCTGCTAGCCCCGTCCCGTAAAAATGAACACCATTGCTACCGAAATTCCATTATGGGTAAATTTTGTTTTGATAAAGTCTCAGTGTTATACAGTAATGTTTACTGATGACAACGTTTCGAGCACAATTTATTTCTGCTCATAATCATATCAAGGTACTCACACGATTTTCTAACTTCATTTATATAGTTCCATTATTTTTCACTTGATTTTCACCTGATTTGATTGGCAGTAGTATTTTCCATATTTCAGGTATGAGTGATGACTCATTCCTATTGCATGTGTTTGATGTAGATTCGATGAACAAGGATTCAGTAATCAACTACCTCTCTCTCTCTCCACCTATTTAGATTACTTTTTAGAATTTTAGCCCTCTCCCACCCACCCTATTGTGTGGTTGTGTGCTAATGCATGCATTGCGATTGCTGAGCTTTTTTTCCAAATTACTTATCTTCTCGGGGTCAACCGTTTTTACCTTAGCTAAATTCTTATGTTCTGACAATCTGACTACTCCTGATCTACTAGTTTGACCCACCGAAATTTTAAGCCTCTGGCTTGAAGCCCTATGCTCCACCGGGAACGTAAAGGAATAAAAAAGAAAGAACCATTTTATAAAGGACGTAATTAATGTTTTGTCGCTTAATGTTTCACTGCGATTATAATGACAAACGTTTCTTCGCGATCCACGTCATAACTTAAAAGGACTGTATATATTTATATATAATTTTTGGGTTCCAAGTGGAACATTGGGCTACAACAGCACATCTCCATTTCTTCCTGTTCTCAACTGTCTTTTTTTTAGCTGGCTCCACCATTCCCCATAAGCTTCCGTTTCCTCCTCACGCGATCTCTACGATGTCATTCAGCGGTCTTGTCATGTTGTTGTATCGACCTCTATTTTCTGCATATATATATATATATATATATATATATATATTTTGGGCTAAATGTTCTTGGTTAGTTCGTCGCTGGAGTCCCTTGTTGCTAATCCTCTACAACGAGCCACCTGATCTTCAGTATGGGACGAAGACGGCTGTTGCTAAATGTCTGCGGCCTGTTGGAAATGCTTTTTGTGACCATATAGAAGAATTGACTTGACATTAGTGTTGTAAATCCGAATCTTGTTCTTTATGCAAAACGATTTCAGATTATTTGAAGGTGTCTATTGCCTTTCCGATTCTGGCTTTGACATCTTCATTTAAGTGTTGGTTTGTGGGGATTTGGTTGGTTACAGGATTTCATCATGAGATGACATTGGTTAGAGAAACATTGGAAAACCTGGGAGTACTGAACAGCTGCTTCGTCAGCCTAGTTTAGGATTCTTCATCATCAGTACGCACCCATCAGGGTTCGAACCCAGGACCTTCTGGTTACATCTTCATCTATGCCGCCATTAGTTGAAATAGCGCAGCCTGGATGAATGGGAGAGGTGACTTTTGTTTAGATTTCTCCCGCTGATAGTGATTGGTGCTTGTTCGTTATTGGTTAGGCGGCGTAATCACCTCTGTCGTATCTGTGTCCACTACGTTTATGTTATACAGGTCGTATTTTTATATTTCATTCTCTTTTCATTCGCTGTGTTTCCTTTATCTACATTCTTTGCTTACAAAAGACGTCCTTGATATAAGTATAAAACTTGGGCACTGTCGTAAAGTATAACTCCATTATACATAGGATTTTATTTTGATAAGTCACATAGTGTTACACAGTAATATTAACTGTCTGTCTGTCTGGATTCAACATAGAACTTCACACCGAAGTGTACCAGTTCGAGTTGCCACGTTCCAAATAGCACACAAAAGTAGACAAGAAGATGAGTGAAGAGAATCAATACAGTCTGACAAGTATAAGAGTGAAACAGAATGGGTAATGGTAGAAAGGAATATGAAAGATTACAGAGACTGAATACATCTGCGCTGGCCATTGACAACGATTTTGAGCCATGTCACCCTATTGTCTCCAACCATTGATTCTTAGGGTCCCGAGGGCCCCAACCCGGAAGTCTGCATCTCCCTCCCTACCTGACTCAATTTAACTGTCAAGGATTTCATGGATTGATGAGGCCATGTTTTTGTTTGGCCACCACTTACCCTTTTCCAACCTGCACCTATATCAGCTAGTAATGCCCGTCGGGGGAGGCGATGGTTAGGCATGCGCAGCACGTGACCGACCTAGCCATCTCAATCTATGTAACTTTATAGCCTCGTCGATTGATTTTCCCTCTTTGACCAACACTCTACGCCTAACGTCAACATTACTTACCTTGTTAAACCACCTAACGTGAGACAGGGATCGCAGACATCTATGATCGAAAGCAGTCAACCTTTTCATGTCTTCAACTCGTATTGGCCATGTTTCAGAGCCATAGAGAAGGACGAAGTTAGCTGCTGAGCAGTACACACGTCCCTTGGTTGATAGCCAGCCGGATGTCACGCCTACGCCAGAGATGGTGTAAGTCAGCGAAAGCAGCTCGAGCTTTTCGATTCCGTGCTGAGATTTCGTCGTCAATCAGTCCGTTGGTGGTGATACAACTTCCCAAATAGGTGAAGTGGTCAACATGTTCTGTCACTTCACTCCCTATCAGTAAGCCAGGAGTTGACGTGGTCCAGTCCTGTAGCAGCATCTTACATTTTGCAGGGGCGAATCGCATGCCAAACATATTAACTGATGACCACGTTTCGAGCACAAACTATTGCCACT